TCGTCATGGAATACTGACAATAAAGAAATATCACATGCAGCTTATATAGACTGTCAAAAGCAATGAAAACATTAATCACAATATCATGTTTTTCATGCAGTCGAGATTAAACGCTATAATTTAATATGTTAATTGCATAACATGGTTTCGATCCTAGCTTACAGATCGCGAACAAGCTTGTCACAGAACTAAATCTGATCCACTAATATTATTGTATTGATGGGAGTACCTCAGGGGTCCAAATTGGGTCCGTTGTAATTTTCCATCTATGTAAACACTTGACCAAATTAGAAACATGATGGATCTGTGGATATGCAGATAAGTTAACGTGTAAGTGGGAGTAACAGACGAGGTTGAACAAAATACGTCGGTTACGTAATAAGAATTAATGGGCATCAAATAATAACAGTGGAAAATATAGACGTATATAACTTTGTAAATATTCTTTAAAAAAACTACGTAAATAGATTTTAAACATTATTAGATTGAATATTTAACTTGAGGGCATTTCAAAATAATCTATCCTAATACAAGGTGTAGATTACAAGCATTCACTATTCAAGTTAATGCAATAAGACTTTATTGAATTATCACATGGAGTGCTAAAACAATCACTATTATACGTTAATTTTTCAAACCATCAAACGAACCCATTTCAACAAAATATATAAGTGATGGGATTAGGTTATGGAGAAGCGCTGGGCCTTTCGAGTTCAGAAAACTCGCTCTAGGACGATACAAAATGTCTAAATTGATGGGACTGAATAAAGCATGCTGGGTCAAGGAGGAGAACAGACGTGAAGCGACCATCACCGGAGGGAGCACTATAAGGAGACCGTCTATGCAATGCTTATGGAGATGTAGAGGGGAGCCGTCTCAGCATTCAACCCCTCAGTCGGCCGGTGAGAGAGTAGAGACCGCGGCGTCGTATCGTGTTGCACGTATTTGCGGAAGCCAGTGAGCTGGCGGGACGTTTCCAATTCAACGCTCTCCTGCCTAGCCGAAATGAAGCTCAACCGACCGTAGCTGATCGCTTTTGGCCTCCAGCAGAAGTCGTCGGGGGCGGCATTTTCTACCCCTAAAGACATCACAGATTTTGTTCGCTTACTCATAAAGGAAATACTCAAAAATAATCTCTCTATAAGCGAAGACGGCAGTATAAGTAAATCTATCTAAAAAGAGAGATGGTGAAATGTGTGACCTATGGCTTGGCACGCGCGCCAACGTTGCGCCAATACTCGTCATGCGGTTTCATGGACAAAAAGACACGATTTACTTTTGTGGCTTGCATGACGGTTTCGCAACAAGTTTACAAATAGAGTAAAGGTTGAGCTCGAAAACTCACCGAGTTTGGCCTACACCGACAACTGTCAGGCCTCGATAAACTGTAACCGAATGCCGAGACAACCAAAGTGGAACTGGGAGACAAGTCATCGGGGGAAACGTAGATCTGAACTCTTGACGACAGCACCTTGTAGATATGGAGGGGGTTCGCCATTCTAGCGTGCAAGGAGATAGTTGTAGGTGCTTGTTTGGGCGGGGGATCATACGCTATGTGCGATGGCCAAGAAATATATTCGACACCATCGACGGAAACAGGAAAGATCATTTATAGAAAGAAGTAAAGTTCATTGACCATAGCCTACTAGAACAGCACTAACAGCAAGTTACGTTTTAGCACATGGTTGCATGGCTTCTTGCAAGTTCCCTCGATGAAACGAATTGGAACATAATTATTCACACAATAAAATCAATTCAATTTCGAGGTGACATAGTTCAAGCTAAATGACTGTATTTGTTCAGAAGAAATTTTACCAAATTTAAAATTAAAAGTATGAAAACATTATAGGTATGAAGAAGATTCATGATTTGGGAAATAAGAATGTTGAACTTTCTCACAAACCTGTACAGTGAGAAATTTCTTTTTCAATACAGATTGAATTAAATGACGTAAGACCCCGCATAAGGAAGTGGTCTGCGGAGGAGTAAAAAGAGAATTGAATCAAATACTTGTACACATTTTTATATATTCAGAAGAGGGAGAGAGAGAGAGAGAGAGAGAGAGAGGGAGAGTCATACATCGTGACAGAGAAAGAAACATTTCAAAGAACAATGGAAGGAGAGAGAGAGGGGGGGGGGGAAGGATAGAAAAAATAAATTGAGAATAGTAGTTATCGAGAAGGAAAGATATCATGTTAACAGGGTCCTGTCGCAGGCATACTCCCCAACCATGTCAAACACATTAGTCTAAGAATCATCAATTTCTTTTAAATATTGAATACAACTCTATTTTTGTTATTGTAAAATCTTCTTCTGCCTTAAAAGGCTTTTAATTTGCTTTTTTTCTACTTCTCATGTAGTCCTCATTGTTGTTCATTTTAAAACATATTGGGTATACATAATTTCCCACATGAGGTTGATATTGTGTACCCACCCAGCTATGTGCATTTTCTTTACCAAAATTAATTAATATATTATCCAATTACGGTAAAAGTATAAAATAAAACAAGAATAAAAACTTAAAAATGGGAAAATATTAACCAACTTGGGAAATACAAAAAAAGTGCACAAAGTTGTGTGGATACATAAATACCCTCATCGCATTTTTTGCCCAGTATTTATACTTTTCGGCCTCTATGGATGATGTATTCCTTATTTGGGTATTTACTTTGCAGAATACATTATTTCTAGTGAATTAATTTGTAAATATTTTGTAACTATCTTCATTAAAACGGCTGCTGCTAAAACTGATCGTACTTTTACTATACTACTACTACTACTACTACTACTACTACTAATACTACTACTACTACTTTCTATTACTGATAATGATAGTAGTGATAATGATGGTGATAATGATAATAAATATAGACCTACTTTCATCATTGTTTTCTTCTGTAAATGCAACAACCCGAGACTTTTCGTTTATGCATAAAAACATACACATGTTCTGTTTAAATCGCATTAAACTTAAAACAAAAATGCATTGTATTTCTTATCATAATAAAGGTGTACGCAAAAATACAAGGGAGACTGTCTAATTTTGCACGCATAATAGCATATCCTTTTTCCATTTGAAATTTTGTTGTTGTCGGAAATGCAACGCGAACGAGCACGAATTCTCACTTTTTTATGCATTGTGCATCTTTATATAACCTTTGATGGTAATTTGAAAATTGAATCATACTCAAGGCTTGATTTGAAAACTTTAAAAAGGCAACCTCTCTACCCTAACAACGAGGTGACGGAATATTGGGACTTGTACTATTATCATGGTGCTCTAGCCACCAGCCCCCCTCCTGCCATGTATTCACTCATTTTCTTTCAATCACTGTTATTATTTTACTTTAGAGTATTTTGTTTTAAATTTCAAATTACCCAGAAGTTTAAATATTTTACATTCATGTCGAAAATTCTACTTATACTTTGATTTTGTGTAACAAAATTATGAGTAATGAAAATATGCACTAGCATTATGATCCAGATAATAAAAAAATAACAACTGCGATGTATTCATCTGGTTTTTGTCTTTGTTTGTCCTTGTCGAATTACCCAAAAGTTTAAATATTTTACACTCAGACATTTTAATAGAAACGTAATAACTATATAAAGACATTCTGTTAATATTCTGATTTTGTGAGAAAAAATGCAAGCAATGAAATATCCTTATGCACTGACATCATTATCTAGATAATAACAAAAATAACAACTTCGATCTGATGCACTGATTTGGTTTATCTTTTTTTACTTGTCAAATAACCCGGTAGTTAAAATATTTAACACTCATGTTGAAAATGGAGTTTCAATAGAAACGTATATAATGACATTTTATTCAAATTCTGAATTTGCGCAAAAAAGTTGTGAGCAATGAAATAACCTTATGCACTGACATCATTATCTAGATAATAAAACAAATAACAACTGCGATGCAATCATTTGGTTTCGTCTTTTTCTTTCTTTGTCGAGGTCTTGATTTACTGTACGATGTATTTGGATTTCATTTTAACTTTCTTATCTTTCATAAGTTGGTCGCGATGAGAGAGGATGTATTGTTTACTAACCCTAGCTCCAAAGTGTCACAACAGTCCATACCCAAAGCTCATTGATGTCTCGTCCCCATTGTGTCTCGCGCACCTAAGTCTGGCCTTGACCAAAAAAACTTCTTCGACTCGACAACGCGCCAAGAGGCAGCTAACAAAATGAAGATGAATATGTTGAGTTGAAAGCAATAATTTGTTGATTTGTAACTCTTCGATTTCTCCCGCTCCCTCTCGGGAGTATTATGACTTCTACCCCGACTCTTTCCCGTCAGGTGTGTGCAATCTGATTTGTATTTTCACCCTCCCCACCCCCTCACCCTCTCCCTCTCTCTCCCCTCCTCTCTCTCACCCTCTCTCCCATACCGCGGAAATGGAGGTGACGTCACTCGAACCATGGCCTCCCATTGGCCGGCGGGTGATAGACTCCTACGGTGTATTGTGTGAAGCAGATGAAGAAATTGAGTGGCGATCTCTTTTAACGAGCAAGGTGATTTGTCCATTTGCGGGCGGCGCTACAATCCATACAAACTTTCGCATTTTTGTTTTGCCCCCACTCCCTCACTCCTGGAGCACACTATTTGGGGCCCGATATTGAAAACAAATAGACCTGTCGAGAAAGTTGAAACTCACGTTTTAGTTTCGTTTGCTTCTATTCTAACATCTCTCTCTGTGACAATTGCTCACAATGCATGCGTTGTGTCTCAAAGTTTCTTGACTCCTTATTTCTCTCTTCTATCCTCGAGTGACATCGGCTGACAACGTATTTTCTTCAATCAGATATTTGGAATATCCTAAATAAACATATATTAAAACACTTTGCCTCAATATCTACCACTGTGAAGTACAACAGAGGTATCCAGGAAGGTCGTTACAAGGCATCTTTCAAAAGGAGATTTCTTCGCCATAGGTTTTCTTGTCTGCACGGATAACAGCGGGAGCTGCAGGCGGGTGGTCGATACCATGTCAGCCCTATCTCTAGGCGGCCGCGAGCCGCGATCACCGACACCACACCATCACCCTCTCCATGTCCCTCGGTCCCACTCTGACAATGACCTCGCTGTCAAGACACGCTTCACGGACTTCTTCATCGAAACCATCCTCGGACCCGAGTTCGGCGGATCGAGAAAGCCGAGTAAGGCGCACCATCGTAAGGAGGATGAACACGAGGTCGAGAGACAGGACAGAACGAATGTCGCCAAGCGGTGCGATGAGGCCCGCCCGGTGGGCGCGGGGGAAAAAGCCTCCACGAAATCCTCGTCGTCGCAATCATGGCCAGCATGGGTTTACTGTACACGCTACTCGGACAGGCCGTCATCAGGTGAGAAAACATTTCTAAAACGTTTTACTTATTCTTAAGATTTTGTCAGTGTCACCCAATATTGTCAATTTTATTGAGCAATGTGCACTCTTTTGATAGCAAAACTAAAGGCAAACGTTTTAACATCACACCAATTATAATGCGATAGCCTGCATGGTATATAGCCGATATCATTTTCAAGGTTATTCTCTCTGTATTTAAACAAATAGTAAGTTGGTTGATTAACGTCACAAATTAAAACTCCCTTATGCCTTTCCACGAGTTATCTTTGTGTAGTTGTTTAGATTGTTATTAAATAATAAATCTTTTAATCTCGTCAACGTGATAATTGTCAAGGTTTATAATCTGAAGTCAACATCTTAAGTGTTTCAATAAATTAAAGCTTTATAAAATAAAGCAACTTTGCAGCCGCAAATCGAATTTTAACAATACAGCACATGATTATTTCTTAGTAGATAAGATAAACCAAATACATGTTTAATGAAACAGACAAACACACAAATACAACATGTCCGAGTTCTTTGGCGCTTAATAAAATAATGTCGAAAAGAACACAATTAGTAGTGAAAATAATGAAATAATATAATAACTTAAAGAAAGCTTAACACAATAAATTGTGTGACCCAAATAAAACGACAAATGTAATGAATGTATATTATGTATTTTATAATAGATGGCAAATTCGTGGACCATTCAATGTAATACTTATTCAAGCATGTATTGTTAAACCTCCGATAATTAGTCAATATTTATCCCGATGTTTACATAACTTTTATGATATTAAGGGAGAAGTTAATGACATCTGATTGAAACTTATTCTACGTCATACCTTGTAGTTTTTTTCTCTTTAAAACCCCCTCTTAATACTTTATGACACTCTTAAACAAAATTTGACTAACAAAACTAAATCTTTTATCTGTGGGAACTGAAGAAAGTGAATATGATATCAAAGAAGATGAGAAACATATGTTACCATGGTAACCGGGAAGACGGATTCTTCCGGTAATTTGTCTGGTCGTCTTATACTTGTCACATCTTTGCGCGTGATTCTCGCAACAACCAACGACCTAATTTAATAATCCCACCTCACCGCATCCTTTCCTTTCAATGTGGTCGAAATTTTCGAATCTTCCTTCCCAATTTCTGGTTGAATCTTCACAAATTTCTCCCCCTCCTCCCCTCTCGTCTTACCTGAATTAATATGAAACATATATTCATGATAATTATAGATCATTATGAACTACTGACCCCCACTCTCACATATTGATTCGCATATTCTATGGAGATAATGTAGACGTTATACGAAGTGTCAAATATTCGAGCGTTGGTGAATCTGTATTAATTGCATTGATGTTTCAATGCTATAAGGTTTAAGTCTGATAGATAATTCATAATTAAGCAATGCTACGGAAAACAATATATTACACTTAATATACTTCTGGCAGATCGCTGTCATTATTAAGCAGAAGTATTAAGAAATGTTCTATATTTTCGTCATTCTCTTGTGAAAGCACGCGAAATGTACGTGCATGGCGTCACATCAGATTCGTAACCTTTTGACCTTCAAAATGAGACTTAACTTAGATTCTTTTCGTCACGAATACGTTCTATAATTGGTCAGACTGCATGAATGCATCGTTGTTACTATCTGTATAAAGTATCAGGCATTTGCAGTAGAAAATATAAAATAATATGAAAATAGACAAACGTATACACATTCTCATTCTTTGTTACCTTTACCTACCACTTATCACCTTCAATCCGTTATTTGAAAAAAAATTTCTTCAGTTTATATCGTGTATTCGATAGAAGTGTGCACGAGTTAACATCCTTCTTGTTCCAAACTGACGATGTTATATATATAGTAGCATTTATCAACAACGAACAAAATAATCCAAATGATACAAATCATTTCAATAACTATCTTGAAAATACTTATTAATTCTGAAGTCATTACGGTAAACTATTTTTGTTATGTCATATTTTTCTTAAACGGTTTAAGTGGCTTTTATCACGTCTGTATACAATTATGCATACATGTTTGAGATACAAATTACGCCAAGCAAGCGAATAAAGCATGTTACCAAGTCTAACCAATAATGTAATACCTGTTTGTATAAATACATTTCATTTAATGATGGTTTAACATGGCAAAGTCGAGGGGAAATTAAAGACATTTCATTTTGAAAGTGGCCGTGCTAGTATTCAAAAGAGACGCATTACAAAGTGAGTTTGACAATCTAAATTTATTATTTGTTTTATTCCTGTCTACAGTTGCAAACTTTAATGGCTTGATTGATTGATATACACACGAATGCATCTCGTTATCCTCTGAAAGCTTAATGATGTGAGAAACCCGTTCAAGAGTAATAAAATTGAGTCAATGTTATCATAATTTATAAGTTGCAAGAGTAGGGTTCCGTTATTTATTATGTACAATTGATTTGTGTGCATGTGTTAATAAGTTTGGGCGTTCGCGTGTATGAACTTAATCATCATGTTTATTCTAGCCCGATTGGTTTACAGTTCAATGTTTTATTTATATGTAAGAACGTTGATTAAAAAAAAAAAAAAACGCTTTTCTGTATTTACTTATGAACCAAATGATTTAATTGTAGCATGAAACATTGAGAATATTTAGTAACACTTGCTTGGGAAACATTTATTTTTTCCCTTCTCTGTTTCTCTCCGTTTGTCATTAGGGTTTTGGAAAGAAGATAGGCCTAAATCTGAACAAGATTTTGTTATACCAAGCACAATCAATTTATGACAGAGTATACGCCCTTCCGATTTCCCCTCTAATAATATTTTGCTGTTTCAATTTAAAAAATGAATCTGTTATGTCATTATCGGAATGGTATTCAAACATAATAATGCCTTTTGTCAAATTTACTTGTTTAAACATTAAGTCTTCGGTTAAATACTCATATTGGTGAAAGATACACTCGACAACACGAGAGGGTCCTACAGATAACCCGTTATAAATGATATGGGATTCTATCTTCGTATGTATGTGTTCACAGCTCTCAGGTATCATCAAAACAATTGGGTATTGTGCTCAATTATGATAAATGATTGGTCTTCACATGATCTTTACCCATCTCGCTAAACCCCACTAGTAAAGCTTGTCATGTTATTATCATCACCCTCACACCTGTTCTAATCTTCTCTTTCCTTCTTCATTCCAACACCGTAATGTGGACGAAAAAAACGTTCGCAATTGTGAGAGGGAGAGGATAACAAGATAGAAAGAAAGAAAAATGAAATTGTATTTGTTCTAGATCGTACAACAGGTACGTTGATTTATCAACCGTGGGATATAACGCTTGACGCGGGATCTTGTGGCATCTCATTCGCGCCACGGTCTGCTGTTGTCACTCATTTCAAGCGCGCTTCCTCGCTGAGCAAAATGTTGTTACCTTATTTCATTCTCCCTCCCTCTCAATCTCCCTCTTTCTCTCTATCCATTCAATTGTCTTCTTCTGTCTCACTATCCTCTCCATTCTTTCTCCATTATATATTTCTCTTTATTTGTGTTTCAATTCTCTTGTTTCCCATTGCTTATACATTGCGAAGGACTAGCATGGGAAAAAATAAAGGGATTGTGTCTAGTCCCATGGCATATTGTTCAAAATTAATGTATACGACTCGTCCCCCTTTTATCGGTTTTCTAACTCTCTATCTTGTTCTTTTTCATCCTATTACATTTATGTCACCCTAACCCTACCTCTTCTCCTCTCTCTTCGTTTCTCCGCCCCTCTCTCTCTCTCTCTTGAGGGATTGAAGGCAAGGAGCGAATTGTGTCGTATAATGGTACGCAGTTGAAATTGTCTAATTACCTTATTCATTCTATCTGTCTGTCTAAAAGTAAATATGACTTCGTCTTTCTCGGGTCCTTTCCACTCTCAACCTTTTTCTATTTTGTCCTTACTACTTTCTTTGTTTCTTTCTCCCCCTCTCCCTCTCTCCGTCCTACATTTTGAGGGACAGGGGGTGAAATCTAGAGGGATTCTGTCATGTTTCGTGGTGTGTTGTTGAGATTGAAGACTCATTTTATGTCAGGCTGGGAGAGGACCTTATTAGCAGCGACAACCCCCTCGGTGTAAATGACTATTGGTGCATCTGCTGCAGGCGACGTGAAGGCCAAAGCCACGACTAATCCCCTCAATATCCCTTTTCATCTCTCCCTCTCTCTCCCAAATTAAGTCTACCCCGGAAAATGTTAAAGCCCGGATGGAGTTAGGTGTGTAAATCTGTATCCATCACGTGAGTGTTTTCATCAGGTGAGAGGGAGTGAAACTGGCTAAATCCCTTCTCCACCAATTTGATAAAATGGTTTGCGTGTAACATTTTAAGGGCACGGAAGGATTTAAAGAAAAGGAAAACAGAACAGACTCGTAGAGATAGACTGATAGAGAGGGGGACAGAATGAGGGAGTGAGAGAGAAGCAAGATCAAGGCAGGTGACATTGAGAGGAAAGCTCTTTAGTGAATCTTATTTCTATTGATCTGTTCAAGATAAAGCTGACACAAATACGTTTAAAATATTTTGTACCCTTACTGATGCTCACAGAATAGCAGTCCTTTCAAAGTGCGACCCGTGATATTGCGTTAATAGTTTATTGTGAATAGGGCAATTTAGTACATTTTTTTATGTCGCTCCCAAGTTTAAGCTCACACTTACTGCGCTTTTCATGCTTTTTGCAGTATTTGCCAGTAACGTCTGATGCCGTACAGTGCCCTAACCCTCGCGGCGGGGGATAAGCCATTACCCGATACTGGAGCGTGCGAGAGCTACTGAAAGCCGACGGGTCTGATACATAGTTTCAAACAAAAAAGTTTGCCTCAAATTTGTCAAGTTCACATTACAACGCTTGGAGTGCGATCCAACCGTGCACACCCTAAACTTCCTTATTATACACATTATTCAAGAAAAAAGCTTTGTATTGAAGCGTGAAAGTCTGCTAATTCAATAATAGAAAAACATTATTTAAGGGTCTT